ACTGGCGATTTCATGTCGCCATCACGTCAGCAGAAAAAATCGCACTTAAAATCGCAGCAAAAATTGCAAGTGTAAACAGGCCTTATGCCTGCAGGGGATGATGGGAAGTAAGGTATCATAGTGCTGATTATGCTGAAAAATTTCAATAAAAACTACCGAAACAACCGAAATATTTCAATATTTACAAGTATAAGCTATCACTCCGTGTTTACACGGCCACCATTTCTATTTTTTCAGCATAATCAGCAATGTGATACCTTACTTCCCATCCGCATTCCCTGCACGCATAAACTAAAAGCTGGAATTGCCTATTGATTATTGGGCATTTCTCACGGCAGTGCAAACGGACTTTTTAATGTGTAACGCTAGAGACAAATATTTTGCACATAGTTAAAATTTTAATCCTTAGTTTTAAATTTTCATAGACTTTCTATTAATAGTATAGTATATTTTTATGTAAACTTTTGCAGATGTAGAGCCACGCTATGTAAAAGCTGTAATAAACCATTATTATTATTATCATTATTATTATTATTTATTATTGAACTATCGAAGTACCAGACAGTTTGATGTGCACGTAGACTATATGTCCAACGCAGGACCCTAAAACGGACTTTACTTTGACCTTACTTTGTTTCTTAAGGCTCAGAGCCTGCCTCGCAGCGACTTCCGTTGGACACTTGGCCGTACTAAACTCAGCAAGGCTCGGGTGAGAGCTAACCACGGGCCCCAGGACAAAATAACGAATTGGTAAACACGGACCCCCTGTCCCTCTCGACTCTGGCGCATGGCGCCAAAATCTATTTTTAATAGCAATCAACGAGACTGATCACCAGCGAATTACTTGCAAGAAATCGCCGCATAACTGATAAGAACGCAATGTGAACGATGTTCAGCTAACTGTTTCTGCGGCTGAAAAAACGATCGAAAAATTGTTTATTTCACATTTGGTTACGTTTTACGATCGATCACGACGATTAGCGGATAGTCTGCAAGTAGGCGTGATTTAAAGCTTTAATAATAATCCACCTAAAGTAAAAAAATAGAGTGGACTTACAAATTCATAAACATTATAAAACCATCTATATTACAATAAAAATTTATATTTTTAAAAGGTTCAGTTGCCAAAGGCACAGACGACGATTATGTCCTTCAGTTCAGAGAATAATGCAACCTACATTCAGCCTAAAATTACTGAACCGTCTATTACAGTAGTAATTTAAAGTTTATTATTAAAAAGTTTAACTGCACGAGGCATAAACGATGATTTATGTCTTTCGGTTCTGGAAATAATGTGACCTACATTAGAACCTCTTTCTTTAGTTCTGGTGGAATAGTCATGCTTCTGTGCAATAGGGACAAGGTGGTGACAGGGATGGTTTACGTCCTGAGTAATTAAATTGCCTCCATTTCTCGAAGAGTTAGCTTATATCTTCTCTCACTAAGCGGGGGAAGTGTATCGACCGGTAAACCAATAATACGTTCATTTAGGACAAATATAAAGCAATGATAAATGATACGAACATTTTACCGAGATTTCCGGGCCCCTCTGAGCACTCCGGGCCTCGGGTATTTTGCCCCTTCTGCCCCCCCCCCTCGTCGGCCTTGAAACTCATCCAGATTGCTAGTGTTGTCCTTCATACTCCTCGGTGTCGAACTACTACTTTCAATCATCTGAGTTTCTTTAACTGCATATAGTCAAACCCTGGAACAGAGTGTGCAAGGATGTTGATCCTTTTCCAGTCCCATTACTTTTACAACCTTTCTTAAGCAGTGAAGCGTAACTATTCTCGTCTTCTTCAGACAGTCTATGTCTCTGATGATGATTTGTCCTGTACGTGGTCCTTCCACGCGACTGTCCTTGCCACAGCCCACAGCTGCCACTGTTTGTATGTCTATGTCTGTATGTCTAAAAATGTATGTCGCCAAAAAAATTTCGGTCAGTGTACCATTTTAGGGGTCAAAAATTTTTTCCGGACAAACCAAATTGCAATCATGTCCCATGATTACAATTGGTTTCCAGGTCCTTTATCTCAATTTTTCATACCAAATTTCGGTACTTAGCCAAAAAAACCCCAACATTAACAGCTATTAGTTCTGCAAAACGTAAGGGGGGGCATAATTTCAATTTTATTTCCGAGTGGGGGGGGGGGCACTGGGGGGCAATGCCCCCCAGGCCCCCCCTCAGCTACGGGCCTAGCACAAAATCTGAATTCTTGGCAGGTGCCTTGCATGGGTCATTTTTCAAGTGTCCCGTTCGAACAAGTCCGAACAAGTATACAAGTTCGTACGTGTCAAGTTCTGATTAATTCTTATGTAACTGTATTGATATAAACATATTGTATGTACAATATAATGAGTATTATTGATCCAAATAAATTTTTGAAATAAAATTAAAATGGAAAAATATTTTGATTGGTTGTTTCGTTGTTTTTCGTCAAGTTTGCAAAGCCAGCTGTCTGGCTGTGGCATCCACGTTGACCAATCATAATCGAGCTTTCATTTTCGTCCGTATTCGTCTGCAAATTCACAAAATCAAAATGGCGGAACAACAAGAACGCGTCGACGTGAATACAGGGCAAAATAATGAACGAAACACGAACACGAGCGTGCCAGACTATTCAAATAATCAAGCCTGGACACAATATTGGCAGTATTATTACTCGTACTATATGTATTACTACACATCGTATTATTATATGGCTTTAAGTCAAAATTCTGCTGGTTTTGTTGGTCCGTCTGCTGTGAATGTTCAGCCCACAACAGCTCAGTTAAATGGTGCTAGAGTTCATCCAAATAACCAGCCTGATCTTCGACAGAGGTTGTTTAATGGAAGCCTTTTTGGAGTTGTCAATTTGGGGCAGAGGGTTGAACCGGAAGAACGTATGTATTTATGGCTTTGTACATTAATTGTACATAAATTTTGAGTACAAAATTATTCAAATTGTGTGCAATAAACGGACTATTAATGTACGATATCGATGCTACATTAACAATTTTGTTATTCTAGAAATTCGAAATCCTGTTAATGTACTTTTTAAGCCCTGTTTAACACCACCTGCCAGACTTTGGTCTAGTTTCAATGGCTTACTACCATTTGCAAGCAACCGCAAAACCCAAACTTTTTTTCACGTTTGTTTACGTTTCAAACGTACACGATGGGCGGGTCAAACGTGCATGTTGACACGTAACAATCAATTAGTTTCAACCGCAAAATAGTGACATTTGACAAATATCGCCCAAACGTCATTATTTCGCGGTTCAAACTAATTGATTGTTACGTTTCAACATGCATGTTTGACCCGCCCATTGTGTACATTTGAAACCTAAACAAACGTGAAAAAAAGTTTGGATTTTGTGGTTGCTTGCAAATGGTAGTATGTTTTAAATTAATAATCCCAATCGCTCAGGCCACATAAAAAATTACTTGTTTTAAGTTGTTTAGCATCCACCCATTTTAATTTTTCCAGGTTGGGCGGGAGGGTTTTTTTTAATTTTGCCTAAAAACTCTACTACAGGGTGTTTCAGAAACACAATCCTGGAAATTCAGCACACCACCACAGTCAGAACTAACTTTATTGTGAATACTGCATTTAAAACAGAAAAATTACAACATTGGCATCCGAAGGGTCATGCCCAACACCTTACCTGTGAACAGTCATACTCTGGGAACGAGATTGAGTTTGATTGTGTGCGAGGCAATTGCAAAGTGTAAAAGGTTTTTAGAGAGTTTTTACACTAAACTTGGAGGGTTTTTAAAAATAAAAAGTATTTGGAGGTTGGGGGCTTTTCTCAGGCCGGGCGAGGACCCAAAATTTTTTAAAGTAATTTTGTTTTGTGGCCTTATTTGGCCTTATTGGGTTTCAATAAGGGTTAAATATACATTTCTGGAAAAAAGATGTCAATACGACATCTTTTACAAATTAAACCTCCTGCCAACCTGTTCTTGGTTCAGGGTAAAAACTGAAAACCGTCTGAGACTCTGAAAAAACCCAAAAGAAAACTTTATAACTTGTGTCAAAATATCACTACAGTTAGATTAAATTTCACGCTACACGTTCAAGACTTCAGTGTTAAAAACAATTGTATTAATGGTATAGTACTGCCTTAATATGTATGTCACCTTATAGTACTGCTTTAATATGTAAGTCACTGTTAGATGTGTAAACTAAAATATTGTTGGTGGCATTGGTGCTGGTGGAAGTTGAATCTTGTTTTTGCTATGTACTGTATTGCATTGCATTGTACTGTGCCGTGTAGTTTTGTATTGTGATATGTTGTTTTGTGATATTCTTAAATTGACTGTATTTAGCAATTTTTAAAGGGTCCACAGTAATTGGTGTATACTGTTGTGGTGACCCTAGCACTTGTTTGTTGTAAGTGGCAAAGTTTAATAAATATTAAATATTGTCACGTTTGAAAGTTGGAAGTTTTGTCAAAAACTGTTGAACTAGCACAAACTATGATTTTAACAAGGTGCCATTTTTTTCAATATTACTGAAAGTGTAGCAGTTTTTTCTGATTTTTTGGGTAGAACAACAATTGGTTGAATTGGTTTTCAAAAAACATTGGGTTTTCCCCGTTTATCGATTAACTGCCTCACCTTACACAGCTAAAAACGCACAGGTTGTTCCAAGTTGATATCGACAGGTGTGAACAATGTTGTGCGGCCAACTATGAACAAGTTGTCAACCATGTTGTTCCAAGTTGTTAGAGTTGAACAATGCTGTAACAACATGTTGACAATACTGTTCATAGTGGGCCACACAACCTTGTTCAGGCCTGTTGATATCAACCTGGAACAAGTTGTTGATTTTCTCAATTTTTCCTACCAAAGACATCAGGCCATAATAGCAGATCATTTTCGAGACAATTTTCATAACTTCAAATTCTGCATTGTTTTTAAGTTAAAGCACACTGTTATATTTGAGGGATTGTGAGATTCAGAGGTTTCCAACATTATTTTTAACTTTTTTTTAAGGGCATTGCCGGTTAATGGGCTAATCAGAAATGCCCAGGCATTTCTACTATTTAAAGTTTCAAATTATTGCTAACTACTTGTTTTCTTTTAATTAAGGATATGAATACAAAATTGCTTCACTTGGAAAGAGAGTATTCGCTGAATTTATTGATTTTGTTTTCTTGTATTTTCTGAAGTATTCATTATTTTTACTTTACTAGTAAGTCTAAACTGTCTTGTGTAATCTTATAATAGCAATGTCGGTGGTGTGGCTGTGAGTGCATGTAGTTCCTTAACCCATTAATGGGCAAGAAGACTCGATCCTTGATGAGTAAAATTGTCTGCCAATGAGTAAAATTGCAGCTTAATTAACTGGTTATAACACAACATATTGGCCGATAGTTTGGTTAACCCATTAATGTGCAGGTCTCTCCACCTGATCAGGGCACATTTGGTAGGATTCCAGCTTAACCCATTGAGTCGCAGCACTTTCCCTTGACAAGTAAAATAATCTGGCATTAGACAGAGTAAAATACTAAAGTACGGCATGTCAGAGCACATTGCCACTTAAAAGTGTTACCAGATGTATGGGCAGATAGTCTGATTAACCCATTGAGTTGCAACACTCTCCCTTGACAAGCAAAATCACCTGGTATTGGGCAGAGTAAATACTAAAGTAGGGTGTTCAGGGCGCATTGCCACTTAAAGGGTCAAGTAACTAACTGTCTATCCGTTACATCAGCAAAGATCCTGACAAACTCAACTCTCAGTTTCAATATATCTTGGTTATTGATGACAATACAAGTATGAAAGATCTTGAAGATGTTCTGGTGCAAGCATTGATCTATCGGTTCATTGTCTTCCTATATGAGGTAACATATGTTAACTCTTTGTGAGGTACCAATACATACTATTTAGTACCAGGGGCAGATCTACCGTGAGATATCCAGCACCACCCTATGTTTAATATGGTTTCACGACCATTTCAAGAGACTATAAATTATAAAATTCTGCTTGACCATACATTTTCTGCTTTTCGAATAGCG